ATCTGAAGGCCATGAAAACAGAAAAGCAAAAAGAATGAATAGACAGTATCGCCTCTTCTGAGCTTCCACTAGAATACAATAAACAATACATTAACGTATCTGGAATATGTATTACAACTACATTCGAGTAATGTTCTCATGAACTCTTAACCAGGGATATGCTCTTTGAAGTTACAAGATCAAAAGCATTATATGCCCAGTTACAGGATCAATACAAGCTCATCCCTACTTGCTGTGAGACGATGCTGAAAACATAACCTGCTTTATTTAGGTAGAATTTGCTGTGTTGAGGCATATTACAGAACTGAGAAGAGTTTACACCTTCTACAGCGGCTTAGGCTGTGATCATTCTCTTGACAACACCTTCCTCATGACTAAGCTCCAGTTCTGGAGATTTCTGAAGGACTGCCAGTTTCATCACTCCAACATAACTCTTGCCGAAATGGATCGGATATTGAGTGGTTTGTATTTTTGTTGATTGGGGTCTAGAATCTAGGAATTTTAATAGTAAGCTGTGGAAAGTTGGAGTGGCAAGTTCCACTGATAGCTCAACTCTGGTAGTTAAGTGGCCCTTAGTGAGTACCTCCATGCCTGTGAGTTCTCAGTGGATGCATTAACACTTCTCCAGGCACTTCAGGAGCTTAGGTGAGAAAACGCAAAATTAAAATACCACTTAAAAAATTGTTCTGAGGAGCCATCTGTTCAAAAATTGTATTCATCCCTGGTCTTGCCATTACTACTACGTGTAGTTTTAAGAGGTCTGAGAAAGAGAAAGAGAAGAAACAAATCCTTTTTTCTTTTTTTTTCCCCCAGTGCTCTTAACTTTGGTTTGCATGTAGTATGTTTTTTTTTCTTCCATAGAGGCAGTTAATCATAGAATCCATCAGTTCCATTTAGACCTGCAGTGGGATGCACTGCAGTGTCCCTAGTATGTGAAGGGTTTAACTCCAGCTTGCTTCCCCTTTCATTCCTATATGCTGAGTGGATGTATTTCTAGAAGGAATTTGGTAATATTCAGCTATAGGTCAACAGTCCTCCCTTGCCCTTCTTGTTTGGAAGTGATGCTGTGTCTGGTCTGGTTCCTCCAGGAGTGTTGTTACACTGTGATAGGTAGAGATGGAGAGGATAAGAAAGGCTGATGAGTCAGTGTGCCTATAAGCATTTTAATGTACATGATAGCAATAGAGATTTATTTTGTCAATTTTTTTAGGTGATAAAACACCACTTGAGGAGATACATTGTCCACATGGGACTTTACTGTTCAGAACATTTTTATCTTACCTTATTCGTCTAGCATTTCATATCTATCATGAAGAGCACAAGTAAGTTTCATCTCTTAGTGAAATTTATTTCAGTGTAATCAGTTTGAGTCTTCCCAGATGACTATTTTTGTTTCAACTGTAGGGAGAAAGGTCCTTATCTGCATAAGTGTTTCTTAGAAATGATGTCCAGGAATGTTACTCCCGCTGCCTGTCGTATTCAAGGTAAGTAATGGTATTTCTTCTGTGCTGTGCAGAATTCATCAATTAGTACCATACATGTCACGGTTTTATTGTAACTGTTATTTTTTCCTCAATTAATTTTTAAAGGTATCTTATTTTCTGAAGAACGATGTACAGTTTTTGCCATGAGCTACATCAACAAATGCTGGGAAATATACAGAGCTTTTCGTAGACCGAGTACCAGACCTCCATTTGAACCCACAATGAAAATGAGGCACTTCCTTTGGATGTTGAATGTAATAATCTAAGGTTTTTTTAGTTTATTTTGTGTGATTAGATACACTTTATTTTTTCAGTTCATATGAGCATTTTAAAATACTCCCTGTGGCTTCTGCACAGTTGAAAAGGTAGGAGCGATGTTATTTGTACAAACTATCCAACAAATATTAAAGGGACAGTTGTCCTACAGAAATTATTTATGTACTTTTGCAGGATGGAATTCTGATTTTGTGCTTGATAATTTCAAATAATCAAATCTTCGACATGTGTTTTAAGGGAATATAAATATTTTTGCTGGCTTCCCCCACCCCACCCCCATCCTGTAAAAATACACACAAAATGTCTTACTGGCGGAACTCAAAGACTGGCAGCTTTTGCAAAAACACAGTAAACCATTTTAATAATGTATTAATTTAATATACTACAAGATGAACATGAGACTCTTTACTAAAATTCAGTAATTCAGGGACAGATCAAGATTACACTGAAGCTAGGGAACAACTCCCATTGATATGACTGGGTTTTGGATCACTGTCACTGTTTAAATCCAAGCCTTTTTTTCATTAAAAAAGTTAATTAAAATATTGTAACTTTTTGTATTTTTATTTATGACCTTTCACACGTTCTTCCTTAACACTGTTTTTGCAGTGCAGGAAAAATTCCCATTGACTTCAGTAGGGCCAGAATTTCACTCTATTGTTAATTATGTATGTGGAAGTATTATTTGAAACCACTAGAAATTTTGACACAAGCTTTAAAGGGAGTTAGATTAGGTCCATGTGGGAATGCCTTAAGTGCTGTTAACATGTCACATTTACTCTTACCCAGGATTTTAAACTTCTCAGCAAACAATTAACTGCTTCAAGACTTGTGGAAATACTTCTCAAAGATGGTCCCTCTCCACATGATAGCAGTAGTACCAACCTGGAGCAGGAGGTGTGTATGGAAAAGAACATATCATCGTTCATTACTACAGAAACAATTAAAATTACTTCTAAGAAATGCTGCAAATACTGTCCTATCTGCTAGAACAGGAGGAAAATGAATTGATTCCAAAAGAGTACAAACTTGAGCCTCTTACTTTTGTCTTGCTTTGTTCTGCCTGCATCTTCTCGTTTAGTGTGTGTCCTTCTATGTTTTGCTTATTATCTTAGCTGCCTTAGTACAGTCTCAGCATACCTGACCATACAGATAAGTCCTTAAGAGTGCCGTAACCCAGAGGGTGAAATACCATTTCTAAGAGACTGCTGCTAGTAATAGTTCTGTCTGTGGGGCAGTTGCTGACAATATGTGCATACAGTGATTACACAGGGATGAATCTTGGCACTTCCAGCTGTCAAGGTATGCACTGGAAATGTTAAGATGGGTCAGTAATTAAGATGTGAACCCACTGATCCTGAAAATCTGGTGATCCAAGAAACCTGATCAGTGACCTGTGAAGTGCTGCCACCTCAATGAGGCCGAGTAGTGACTGTAGAAGACTCTGGTGCTACCTGACAGCTGGCCTGCTGTCCTTCACCCTTAAAGAGTTAGCTCTTACTCAGCGATGGTATATTACAAATGACATAATTGAATTAATTGTTTTAAAATGTATCTGATAAACTGAACACACAGTGTAAGTCTTACTGAGGGATTCATTATACACCCATTCTTGGGGTTTCTGGAAGCATCATATGCAATTAAATGTTTTAGGTAATAGCAGTAATTGTGTGTGATTTATTAAGAGAAATTTCTTGTAATTCCAGATACAGCAAAAATCTGTGCAGTATTTTATTTCAATGTGACTTGTATAAGGCGTAACACAGTATATCACGTCCTGAATTTTTTGAGTTTTGGCTGTTTTCAATTTTTCTTCAGAAGAAGGGATGTTTGAGTAAATAAATGAGGCCGGTGAGGCTTCACAAACAGTCACTTTTGAGTTCTTTGCTTGCTCAGGTACATCTGCCCATTAATGAAGGAATTTTGCAAAAATGAGTGAATTAATCGCTGTGTTTGTTTTACTCTAGTTGGTTTTTCTTGAATTTGTTGAAGCTCTTCTTGATTGTGCATTGGTGTATGTTACCAGTGATATGATTAAGGAGCAAGTAGATGGTGCTAATCAGAAAAGAAGTAGCTTTAGAATCGAGGGTCTCTCCGAGGGAACCACAAATGTGTCTCTGTACCCAGAATATTCTCTGTCCCAGGTAAAGTTGATGCCAACCTGTTAAACATTATTAAGTGTCCACTTAGAGGGCGAAGTCGGGCCCTGTGAATGTTCTATGTTTCCTGAACATGGAAACCAACTACTTCTTTTTGCATAAGCAGTCATCTGATTGGGTCCTTTTTCTCTTTGTTGCTACCTTAGATTGTAACATCAGTATAGACAGTTTTAACACACTTGCACATTTTCCTTGATAACTATAAATACACAAAAAGTACTTGGAAGTCTTCCAGTGTTCAAAGGGGAACTGACAAATTGGTTGACTGGTGGAAGATAATACCTCTCCTGCTTTAAGTTGAATGTCTAAAATTGCCCTGTAAAAATGGCATTGCAGTTGTATGTAGCAAGACTTGCTGTTCCCCAGCAGTTAAGCTATGCTCTGGTTTTGCTAAACTTTTGAATAAGGATTTTGTAGGCTGTAAGATGCTGTCTGTGACACTGGTGCAATTTAGATGCACAGGGTAGTTGAAGGCATGACTTAGAATTGTTATTATTTGGAATTATGCACAAGATGAAAGTATTTCTATTAATTCAAAGAGCATTTACAAACACCTAATTTCATGGTCTCTGTAAGCCAGTAATGCCACTGAACACCAGCACTTCCTGTTCTCTGGCCAATTGTTTCCATCCTATGGAACCCATTCCCTTGTATCACTGCAAGCACTAATGCAGTTGCTCAATGAAATGGTCTAGTTAAAATAGTTAGATTTTCCAAGACTAAAAGAAAATCTTAATTTAAAACATATTGAATGTAAAATTCTTCTTGTGTTTACTTTTTATTAGTGCACTTACAGCAGAAGTATAATTGGTACACACATAAATGATGACATTTCTGAAGCAGATGAGCTTTACACTTGTTCATGGTTGTCTTCAAGCAAAAATGTCGTATCACAAGACAAAATAAAGAAACATGAGGTACGTAAAAAGCCCACACTGAAAGATGGAGCAGAGGGTTTGCAATTCATGGGTGACAGAGTAGCCAACGTAGTTTTAAGTTTTGAAAGGGACTAGAATTTCATCTAATACTAAATACAACGTGTTCCAGTGCCTGGATCCATGTATGAGCCTAGAAGTGGTACATTTCCATTGCTTACAAAGCATTTGCTCCCACACATACCCTCATCTATTGTTATTTAGAGTATTGGGTGGCATCTTCTACATTAACTAAAACAGTGGTGAATAAAGCTACAGTTTTACCTTTATTCACAGTGTGGGGACTGAGAGGCTGAGAAACAGGCAGAAAGATTTAGAAGCACTGGAGAGGGTAACTGTAATATAATTCCTAAAACACTTTCCAGAATTCTTCCAGCAAACTTTTCACCCTCACTGCCTTTACAATTTTGTACCCAGTGTATGACTATAATGACATTCTTGATATTCCAAGAACAAAAATGGATTGTCTTACCCCTGTGATACCAGGGTAAGACAGTAAGGATTACTAATTTGTACTGGAATCGTGGAAATCAGAGAATTTGGAAACTTCCTGACTTACAAAATATACCAACACTTAGAAAACAGAATTGTGTTTGATCTGAGTTTTTGTGAGACTTTTGCTGTCACTTGTCTGAAAAGAGTGGCATCATCAGGCTGCAGAAGATGCTTGGGATGACAGAAAGATTTAAAAGCATCCTTCTCAGATACACTCTTGAATGTTCTCTCCTTTTCACTCAGTATAATTCCTGGAGTATATTCCTATAGTCAGGAGTAGAAATTCATTATTGTTTCCTCAGGAGCAGATGAATAATAAATAGTATGTAGAGCAACATGTAAGAACAGAGGGACATGTCTAAGAACAGGAGCTTCCATTCCCTGTACTTCTGTCTGTCCCTAGCTCTGAAATAGGATAATCCTACTTCCCTGGCTGGTATCAAAGGTAAAGTGTTTTGACTGATTTGCTAATACTTGAAAGTGTGAAACACTATTGCAACTTAAATGTTTTGAAATAGGCATAATTGCAGAATGCATTTGGTTGACAGAATGCTTTGGAGATAGAAATTTGCATGACTCAAATGGACATGTGATTTAACTTTTTTGATTTGAACACAAGTCCAGGCATTTAGTAACTGAATTTAAAACTTCTTGCCAGCCACTGAGACCTTGTGAAGACAGAGGGCATCCTCCTCTTCAACAATTTCTACTGGGTGAGTACTGGAGTTACCATAAGCATCTATAAGCAGTGGTGCTAGAGGAGATTCACTCTTTCTGCAACTTTAAAGATTATTAAAACAGTAGCTGATCATTTAAACAGCTGGATGTATTGCAATTACAGAGGGTAGCTGCATTCAGTTTTTGGCAGTTATGACAAGGTTTACATTTAGCTTTCCACACCTGCTATACACAGATAGCTGGTCAAGTTGGAATCTCTGAACTTTTTGTGCTTTTTATTAGAAGCTATCGCATTTTCCTTAAAAATAACTTAAAGGTTTTTAAAAACTAAATTCTTGCTGTTCTGTCCCACTCATTTGGGCATGGAAACCGGAGATTGAACTCTGTACTGTGCCTTCATTATAAACAAACTTTTCATCAGTATTTCAGCCACAGGTCTAGCAGTAAGGTCAGATGACAATTTATATTTGTTTGTGCTGAAGATCAAACCTGGTATTTAATGCACAGAATTACAGACTGAGTAATTCTACTTTTCTTCCTTTGCAATATCAGATACTGTCCTCTCATTTCACACAGCTTATGGCGATATCAAAGATGATCCGTCATTGTTCAGCTGGGATGCAGAAGAACAACAAGATTTCTGTCCAGCAAAGGAATTGACAGGTAAAGCAGTCCTACTGTTTTAAGACTAACACAAAGAAATCCCTTGTAGCTCTTGAATTGTGAAATTTTAATTGTATATGCAGGTTTCAGCTTGTCACAAGAGGGCAGTAAATGAACATTAAGTCTGGAGGAAGATTTATAAAGAAAATTTTTAAAAGAATTTTTTTTTTTAAAGAAAATGAAACTTAATTGTTGAGACATTTAAGTACTGACTTAAATAGTTTCCCCTATTTTAAAAGGGGGTTTTTATCTGTAGGGCATCTATAAGCTGTAACTTGTATTTACTCTATGAGAAGCTCAGTCTGCAAGCCTGCCCATTTTTTTTTTTTAATGTCTTGGACAAATAAAAGATATTACTGCTACATCTTGCTTCTTTTACTTCATGTAAGAATTATTAATAGTGTGCCACAATTAGCTGGGATAAGATGTCTTATGTTATGACAGGCCAGCATTCACGCAGAAGAGAAATCAGTAACAGCATTTTCTTATGCTGAGGCTAGTAACCTTTTCATACCATCTCTCTTCTGGCTGATTAGCAGATCTCATCTGGGTTGGTTTTTGTGCTTGTTAAATGTTTTCTACAGATAAAGAACCCAAACCAAGAACATAGGTAAAGGATCTTTGTGTAGTTATCACCTCTTTCACTGAAATTTGATGACTGAAAAGCTACACATCTGAAAGAACATTGTTTCTTAAAGAACCAGCAGATGGGCCCTAACCTATTTTTTGACAGTCACAATTGGATGCTTGCATGCAATTCTGTTCTTTCAGGTAGTCATGTTCATTCCTCCATTCCCCCATGCACAGGAGTCATGGATACTGAGCTGTCATCAGATTACTGCAGAAGACATTTATCATAGGATTAAAGGGGAAAGTTCATATTTTTTTGATGCCATTCCTAGGGACAAGCCACTCTGAAGATCCACAAAAGGGCCATCCCCTTTCACATGCATCAGTTAAAAGTTTCTTATGGTTGTCATCTTCTGTACCATGCAGAAGCCAGACTTCCCCACTGCAGAGTATCAGATCTGAAATATTGTAGTCCAAAACACATTTGAAATAGAAGTGCCCTGCTAAATAAACATCTTTAACTTACTTGTTGCAGATGAACCAAAAGAAGCCAAAACTGAACAAGATGAGGAATTTAGTCTGTGGATGTGTCAGATGCAAATCTTTTTTACAGCTAAATTCTTTCCTGCCTACCAGCATGAAAAAGTGCTGAAGGAAAAAATAAAAGAAAATCGGATAAGGGATGCTGAATTAGCTGAGCTGAGAAAGATGAAGGATGAGGAGCTGGCAAAGTGAGTGTCATATCTTATCTTGAAGTACTGTTATCTCTTCTACTAATAAAATTACTGAAAATGAGAAGTGTGCTTTAATAAAGTAGTATAGCATACTGTAACTGGGAAAACAAATTCATCCAGGTAGAACAAGCAACACACAGAATGTAACTCATGTGACTTCTGTTACTGTCAGGAGTAACAAATATTCGGCTGCTTTCAGGTTACAGAACTCTTTAACTCTCTGGTATTTCCTGGCACTTAAGCCTTGCTCTGTGTAAAGACAGTTGAGACACTTTTAAGACACCTTTTTTTTTTTTTTTTATTTATGTACTGTAAGTCAGACTTGAAACGGTAACTAGACAGATTTTCTGCTTCTCTACAATATGAGTTTATACTGCTCATACTGTGAGCATAGCTGTACTTGCTTAGCCAGTATAAATCTGTCTTCCCCCTCTTGCAGTACATTAAATTTAAACTTTGTTCACTCAGATTTATTGCTGGGAGAGAAGCAGAAGAGGCAAAAAAGCAAGAAGCAGCTGCAGCAGAAAAAACATTTGACTCCAGGAGTGCAGATTTTAAGGAGTTAGAGGAGCCTGTCACACAGTTAGTACCCCCTCCAAAGGAAGAGGCACCCACTGTAGCACCCCCAGTTGTTACCAAGGTGCCTGCTGGCAAAAAGAGAAAGAAGAAATAAATCTTCTGATGAGAACTACTGAACCTTCAAGTATGTACATACTCTCAAAAAGAAAAAAAAACACAACAAAAAAAGAACCACACATGCAGTAAGGTCAGTCTAAAATACAAGTATGATAAAACCATATGCACAAGACTTGCTGGTTTCAGAGGGAAACTGTCTGCTCTTACACCAAGGGTTTTGGGAAAGAGGATATAATCATTTACATGAGTGTAACCCTTTAAACAAATCTGTTCCAGAAGTCAGTGTTTGACTTGTACCTAAAAATTCCCTCAGCGTTAGGTTGATACAAGAAATGGTATCTTGTCATGATTGTATGTCCCAATGAAATGGCTTCTGCTTAAAACATGTTTTATTTGACTGATAGACTGTATGTAAGAATTTGACAAAGAATGTAAATCAGGCTGAAGCAGGAGCTGCAAAGAACAGGTCAACCTAGAAAGTTCTTTGTTCAGGGGTCTTTTGTAGCCAGTCTAGTTTCACGTTGTGGAAAATTAGCAGAAAGTCACACGATGCAAATGAACACAGGAAAACAAAAAAGTGCCCTTAAAAGTGTAACAATTATTAGTTTTATTTTCCAGTAAAATATTCACATAACGATATCAGAATGGAATGGTACAGATGAATTCAGACTGGTTTTTAATTAGTTTGCACATAAACATTTTTAAAATCTAAAAATTTTATGATCAGAGTTTACAGATTTTAGTAGAAATTTTGATTCTTACAAAGCAAGTATTGCTTTACTATTGTCATTATTCCAGTCAATAATATGACTAATAACTTTTCATGTTGAACAAGTGTCTGACATTGACATCTTCAATAAATCAGCCCTTTGCAGATCAATCCAAGAAGAAAATATTATTAAACTGTGTTGCACAAAGTTTCTTCACTTCTTCTGTAAAAAAATAAAAGTAAGATATTTCAGTATGGTATTTTACAGAAAACTCTGCGAGAAAAAGCCTGGGGATCATCAAGGAGAATACAATTCAAAGAGAAAAAAACTGAGGCGTTTCTAATGTAGAAATACACTTCATTTATTCTGTCTTCAGTAAGAGAAAGTTGAATCAAGTCTGACGTTTTACACTGAAAGATGAGTTGTATTCTAAGTAGCTAAAGTGTAAATGATGATTTGAGTTTGCTGCTGGGCCACTCATCTTGTCGAACTTTTACACTGCAACAGCAGAAGACTAAGCTTCAACACAAGGAAGTATTCTGCAACCTCTTTTCAGGGGAAGGAAGGATGAGCGTAGTCTGTTACAATAAATCAAGTCAGAAAAACTTTTGCTTTGTGGTGTTTGGCAGACACCACTTCAGGGGTAGCAGTACTTCCTAAGTTTATCAGGCACAGAAACACTCATTTACTGTTTCTGTATGGCAGGTTTCATCCTGACAGACAGTGAGAAATCATTGTGTAAGTCATGCAACTCATTCCTCTTTTTAAAATGTCAGTTGCTAGGCTTTGGTCTTGGAAAAGTATGTATTCTTTCCCATCATCCACGTGAGCACATTGCCTCCTGTTAAAACAGAGTGCCCTAAAATTGCTGCAAGTAAGATTCAAACTGCCATTTCTCTTAGTCTACTTAAAAGCTTACTGCATCTTAATGTTAATTTGCACTCTTAGTCATAGTAAATCATTCTCAAAACAGCATTAGAAACAAGACAACAATGGAATGAGGAACACTGACAGGATATACATTATGTCTTAAGTAACCTACCCATGGATCATTGACAAATAAAACCTAACTCAGATGTAAATATGTTCATCTCTCACCTTTAATACACTTCATTAACTACTCCTAAACTAAGCTCACAGAGCTCTCTATTATTTGAAGGAGGGAGAATGACTGATTAATAATTAAGAATGTCTGCTGAATATTTATGCTGTTCTTTCACAGCTGGTAGAAGGCAGACTAAAACCTTCTGCAAACTTAGCTGGTCTATCATAGATCAGTCCCTCTCTAGCTTTCTTGTGAGATGGATTTTATTACCTCTCCAGGGACATACATTTTAGTAGCAACTATTTAAAGGTACTAAAAAACAATCCTTACCATTAACTTCAATCAGGTTTGCATTTTTTTGATTCAAAATAACATACAGTTCTCGCTGGTCAGACTTTTTCCCAACTACCCAGTAATCACTCATTGCCTTCACAATAATTTCCTCATCTTCATCAACTCTGAAAGAAGTTTTAAAAAGTAAATAAGGTGGCACAAGTTCATCTTCAACAACTTTATTTGTAATCATTAGGACAGTTTAATGTCATAAATTGTTGTGGTTGTGCACTATCAAAGAGAGACTACCAATACTAACTTAGACATAATTCAGCAATCCAGGATGAAGGCTTCATAAATGACTGCTTAGGACAATTACATCCCCAGAGGAGTAAATCATTAATTTGTCCATCAGCCAAACACTCCAGTGCTCTGAAGAAAACACCTAAACTCCATACTGTTAAGGACACACTTCACAGAATTATGATTTTCTACACAGTGACCAAATAATGAAAGTTGGAGATCGTATGGTGATACTAAGCTTTCACGTATCTTATTGTTAAACCTAGAACTAAAACAAACCATGCTCAACAACTAGATATATTACATAAAGCAATCACTAACCCCATACTTCCACAATATGATGAAACATTCTTTCTTCGTTTAGAGAAAAATGAAAAACTTGTCCTTAGCAGAGTGGGAGAAATGCTAGTCACTAATTAGTTACCAACATCACAATCATTCAGCATCTTCATGTTCTTTATTAATTTTTATAGTGACAGAGGGTCTGTTCCACCTTGAAGCACGATACCCATTGACAAGAAGCCAGTTATCTTCTCTATCAGCAGTACTGTAGTAACTGCAAGGTTCACATTTCACCTATTGTCTAATCCCTAAAAGCAGCCAGGTGTTTCAGAGGAGGGTATAACGTAGGCAGAAGCAGGTTTCCCTGTCCTTTTTACACTATTTATCCCAAGCTTAGTCAGACTTAACTGCAAAAGCACTAGCCTTCACATCCCTTCTAAGTTTGTTACGGCTACTCTGAAACTTCAAATAGATTAGATATTTTCCTGGATAGAGGCCCTGGCCCTTTTTAAAAGGACAACAGAAGTTTTGTTTAAGACAGAGTACTTCTAAACCGACACAAAATACTAAATATGACCTGTGTTACACCATTCATCTCAAAGAGCTATTAATAGCCACCCATGAACAAAAAGACATGAAAGCTTCACTCATTTGAAAATCTCTACTTGACAGGAGTTACAGACTATTTAATAGTTAAGCATTACCTGGAGAAGTCACTGTTGATGTCACCGAGAATCTTCATGAGGTCAGGGTGAACAGATGCAAGTGATACACTGGGTGTTTTCCTCATGTGAATGGTACTTTTCTCTGCCAGGTTCATGTGATTGAAATAGATAAACTTAAACTGAGGCTCCTTCTCAGCCCTAGGAAGAATTTTTAAAAAAAAAAGTGACTCGTGAATACTGACATGTTCTATAAGCACAGGCTTCACAGAGAACAGGTAACTGCCCAGTGCAAAGCTTACTCAGACATCCTGAAGTTATCCTCCCACTGAAGAGACCAAGTACATTAAGACTCGTGGCATGATCAAACTTCATTTTAACACTTTTTTTTTTTTAAAAAAAAAGGAAAAAAAAAGAGATAAAAAAAGCAAGCCTGCAAACCCAACCATTTTTCCCCCTTCTGCTGCTTAGGCTGCTAGTAAATAGACACTGGGGAGTCTAAAGGCCTTGTCCCACTTCCCAGTAGTAGTTTGCATTTTTCTAATGAGCTGTTTTTTTTCCTCTGTCCCCATTTTGTTTCCTTGCTCCTCTATGCTAGTCCAGTCTGGTTTGAATGGATGCTAGGTCTTTAATTTGATTAATCAAGTAATCTTCCACTCACGTCTTTGTTATTTGTTACAATCAAAATAAAGAACTCTTCCCCCCATCATTTGTGTGGGCCAATCAAGAGGCTATTTTCAAACTCCTCCCTTGGCAATCTTCCTCCATTTCTTCTTTTATTAAGTTAACATAAAATCTGTCACTTAGAGCTGTAGTTTTGGTGGAAGTCTCAACAACTTCCAACTGGCAAAAACTGGCCATAGCAATTGGTACTTCAGGCTATGTATTATTTACAATCAGGAAGATAGTGTGATGACACCGCTCACCTTAGCAAACAACTAGATACCCTTGCTCTCTGTCACCCAGATGTATTAGTGTCAAGAAACTGTATCATGTTTTCAGGACACCATGGCATTAAACTTTAAAAGAGTTAAAGCTGCCAAAGCCAGTCCCAGATGACATTAAAAAACCCCAAGTTTAATGATTTAGTAGATTGGCACAGTTGCAAGCACATCCTATTATATACCCTGCGATTTTGCTGATTTGGCGTGCTACCACTAAATAAGTTCAGTCACACATATCTTTGGTTTAATTCCTCTTTTGTTGTCATATGTGATGCTGTTCTTGCTTCCCCAACTAACAAAACTATCTAAAAATAAATACAATTTTATGGAAAGTCAGCTATAGTTCCAAGTGAAGTGTATTTTCCAAAGCATTAACATCCTTTTTCATTTGACTTTTTTTTTTGCCCCTCAAGTAGTTACCTTAGTCCTGCAAAACAGAAAAAATAAGACAGTTTTCCTCACCTACTATACACGGCAACACTTCAAGAAGCAGTAATTCTGGAAAAAAGTACTCAGCTGTAAAGCTTGCATTGTAACCAAATAATCTTACTTACTAAAAATCTCTATCTCAAACTGTTAAGCAAAAGTTGTTCTAGTATCTAAACCTCCATTTTCCTTTTGTATTTGTAACAAAGTTGAGAGTTATGTACACTCCATCCAAGCTGTAAGTACTTGTGTCTAAGGTGATACCTGGACAGAGCTAGTGGTGTCAGTGACCGCTTTTTTTTAACATTATACAAAATAGCAGAAAGTCAAAGCAGAAGTCAAAGGAAATCAGCACAGAGACAGTGGTGTGGTGTTTTTTTTTTAAAACTCAA